TCAAAGTGACCGCAGGAAGAGATGGACCAGCATTCAAGCTCAAGTTCAGTAGAATGGAAGGGAAGTTCTTTTTCCTAATGAGAAGGAGCAGGGCTGGGTTCAACTTTCCTTAGCCTGGATTGAGTCATGCACCCATGCATGGACCATCACTGAAGTCAGGGGATGAACCATGCTGATGGTCTTGGGCCTGGTTTCACACCTACCCCTGGAGCAGAGGAGGAGCGTGAAGTCTGCTCTACCAAACCACATTACAGAGGGTAAGGGAGGGACGCTGTTACCGAGGAAGGAGTGTTGCCAAGAAGACCAAATCAACGATACCTGCTTCTGACTGCTGGCTCGTTTTTGAAAAAGGGGTGCAAAGCATGCTGAGATAAAACTGTAATCTTTAGGTTTTCCAATCAGTACATTCTTCACTGCCTCCCTCTTATTACTCTGTGTCCTGCTGCCAGGAATGGGACTTCTTCAAAGCCATGAAAGAAACATTTTAAATGGTGATATATTGCGCTCACCTTTAAGAGAAAGGTCTCATGTAAGTTTATACAGTGGTCTGTTTTCACATCACAGTTCCTTTCCAGTCCCACTTTCCCCATCATTAGTGTGGAAACCAGAGAGCCTGAGGGAAACCTTGCTGAAGTTACCTTCAAATCTTCCCTTTATTCCCCTTAACACAATGCTCCAGGAACCATTTATATACCAGCAGGTACAATAGAGCTGGTTGCATTGTACTAGATTATATGAACTAGATGTTATCAGGTAAGTCTAACAGTAAATTGGGGCTCTTACTGGGGCTTTATGAATCTTTCTTCCAAAATAAAGCACACTAAGTCTGTTCACAACTTTTCCCTGACAAATTTTCTTTTATCCTTGCTGATAAGAATTAAATGTACACTTTTTTGGGGGGATAATATAGGACAATTATAGTTGGTTTGTGCTTTCCCCCCCTCCAGTTCTTGTAGCTTCTGAGACAAGAAATCGTACCTATAGTTTGGATTAATATATCACTACCTAAATGTAGATGAAGTAATCCTTCTTTATGAACCCAGAAGAAAAACTCCAGTTTAAAGAATCTTTAGAACAAAATTCTTGACTAGTGTAAAGTGATAAATATATGGGCCTGTGCAAAGCAGTTATATTCTTTCCATCTAAGCCAGATTTGTTACTCTTTATCTTATAATGGAATAGTTCTGATTTTTTTGTTTTGTTTTTGTTTGAGTTAGTCTCACTCTGTTGCCCAGGCTGGAGTGCAGTGGCACACTCACGGCCACCCCAGTGTCTATCTGCTAGGCTCTGGCGATCCTTCTGCCTCACCCTTCCAAGTAGCCGGAACTTCAGGTGTGCACTACCATGCCTGGCTAATTTTTTTTTCCCCCAAGCTGACTTTGGGATGTCAGATGACTTAATTTTTTGATTTATTGTAGAGACGGGGTCTTACCAAGTTGCTCAGGCTGCTCTCGAACACGCAGGCTCAGGCAATCCACTCGCCTCAGCCTCCCAAAGTGCTGGGATTACAGGCCGAGCAGTTCTGGTTTTTAAGTCTCATGTTTTTTTTTGTTTTTTGTTTTTTTGAGTTGGAGTCTCACTCTGTCGCCCAGACTGGAGTGCAGTGGCCGCTCCTGGCCACCGCAGCCTCGACCTGCTGGGCTCCGGCGATCCTTCCGCCTCAGCCTTCCAGGTAGCTGGAATTACAGGCGCGCGCTACCAGGCCCAGCTAATTTTTTTGATTTCTTGTAGAGATGAGGTCTCGCTGCCCAGGCGGGTCTGGAACCCGCGGGCTCAGGCAATCCACTCACCTCAGCCTCCGAAAGGCACGGGATTACAGGCTGAGCCACCGAGCCCGGCTAAGTCTCATGTTTAATTCATAAAAAAACCATTGCATTTGTCCAGGAAGACTTTAAATTCCCATCTCTGAAAGCTTGAGTGGCATTAGGCTTTACAAAATTTTGAATCATTAAACATAAACCAAGTAGCATAATGTTTTATATGTACACAATTGCATTTAGCAGAAAAAGCATAGTCTGTCATGTCACTAAATCAGCAATTCTCAAACTTGTGGATTTCAGGATCCCTTTATACTCTTGAAAACTACTGAAGCTCCCAAAAAGTTTTTGTTTATGGAGATTATATCTACTGGCATTTACCCTATTAGAAATTAAAACAGAAAAACGTAAAAATATGTGTCAATTTATTTTAAAATAATAGTCATAAAATTATTACATGTTAATATAAGTAACACATTTTATCCTATATTTTTTAAAAAATGAGTGAGAAGAGTGGCATTGTTTTACATTTTTGTAGATCTCTTCAATATTTAGCTTAATAGCAGATAGCTGTATTCCCATATCTACTCTGCATTCAATCTGTCCTGATATCATGTGTTACATAGCTCTGAAAAACTGCACTTTTTACATTATTTGTGAGATAATAAGAATGAAAAAAAATCAGCAAATTAATATGATTATAAAAACAGTTTTGACCTTACAGACTCCTGAAAGGGTTTCTGAACCCCCAAGGGTCTCCAGACCACACTTTGAGAACTGCTGTGCCAGAGTCACATACTTTAAAGTTACCTGAATTGGCTTGTCCTTGTGATATTAAAGGAAAGAAGGAAGGGAAGAACCAGCTGAGAAACTCCTAACATACTACAGTGTCTAAAATAATCACTAAAATAATAGAAACAGAACATGTAGTTCTGTGGTCAGTGGAGGAGCAAATAAAACAAGAAATTAAACAAATGTCATTCCAAAAGAAGGCAAGAGGGAAAAAGAAAGAAAAATTATTAAAAACCGAGGAAAATAAAGAGCACAAAATAAAATGGTAAATGTTTCATTTTTTAAACTTAAATGGGTGTGTTCACTTTGTGATATTTGTGATACTTTATTTTACCTGTACACTTATTATTTGGTCATGCAGGTATGCATGTATATTTCAACTAAAAGTGTTTAAAATAAGATGACATCCCAGCCTGGGGAACTTGGCAAGACATCATCTCTGCAATCAATTAAAAAAATGAGCTGGGTGTGGTGGTGCGTGCCTGTAGTTCCAGCTACTTGGAAGGCTGAGGTGGAAGGATCACCTGAGCCCAGCAGCTCTAGGCTGCAGTGGCTGTGAGCATGCCACTGCACTCTAGCCTGGGTTACAGAGTGAGACTCCAACTCAAAAAATAAGATGACAGAAATAGAAATATACTGGAAATAATCATATAAATATAAGTGAACAAATTGATATAAAGACCAGTATTGTCAGATTGTCAGACCAGATTATAAAAAATCCAACCACTCTATACACTGCTTACAAAAGACACATTTATAACATAAGGATATAGAAAGGTTGAAAGTAAAAAGATGAATAAAAATGTACTAGGCAAATAATGACCAAAAACCACACCTGGAACATTAAAATATTGATTGTATTTTAAGGCAAAAAGCAATTCTCACAAAATTCAAAGAACTGGCATTATTCAAACAATATTCTCTGACCACAGTGCAATTTAGTTAGAGATCAATAACAAAAGGATATGGGGGAAAGCCATGTGTTTGAAAATTAAGATGCATTTCTAAAGTCGAGTCAAAGAAGTCACATGGAAATTAGAGCTTATTTAGAACTCAAAGCAATAACAATTCTGCAAATTAAAACTTGTGGCATCCCACTAAAACTGTTCTTAGAGGGAAACTGTTTGCCTTAAATGCTTATATTAGCAAGGAAGAAAGGCTAAAATTAATGAGCATCCAGTTTAAAATGTTGGAAAAGAAAAAACAAAAGACTCAATAAAGTAGAAGACAGACACAATAAAGATAAGATTAGAAATTAATAAAATAGTAAACAAAGATAAATGCTGAAGAGAATCTTGGTTTTCTTTTTTTTTTTGAGTTGGAGTCTCACTTCGTCACCCAGACTGGAGTGCAGTGGCCTCTTCTGGCCACCGCAGCCTTGACCTGCTGGGCTCCAGTGATCCTTCCGCCTCAGCCTTCCGAGTAGCCGGAACTACAGGCGCGCTACCACGCCCGGCTGATTTTTTTTTTGATTTATTGTAGAGATGAGGTCTTGCCAAGTTGCCCAGGCGGGTCTCGAACCCACGGGCTCAGGCAATCCACTCACCTCAGCCTCCCAAGGCGCGGGATTACAGGCTGAGCCACCGAGCCCAGCAATCTTGGTTTTCTGAAAAGACAAGTTAACACACCCCTGGCAAGATTACTTAAGGAAAAAAGAAGACACAAACACAATAGGGCATAACTACTAAAGAGTATACTGATCCCCACCAGCATGGACTCTTCTCTCAAGAACTGTTTCTTGCCTGTTTTTTAAAAAATCTAATTTCTTTTATTTTTATTTTTTGAGTTGGGATCTCAGTCTGTCACCCAGGCTGGAGTGTGGTGGCAAGCTCACGGCCATCCCAGCGTTGACCTGCTGGGCTCAGGCGATCCTTCCATCTCAGCCTTCCAAGTAGCTGGAACTATAGGTGCATGCTACCATGCCTGGCTAATTTTTTGATTTGAGGTGTCACCAAGTTGCCCAGGCTGGTCTCGAATTCTTGCCTATTTTTTAAACGTATGCCCACAACTGCTTTGGTGGAGGTACTGATCCTCTGAGCTCTCTTGCAGGATCCTGTCTTGTTCTCCATACTTGCCTGTGCTGAGATGTTGAGACCCAGCATGTGGAACCCCTCTTCTGAATCAGGGCCTAGGGTAGAGCTACGAGTTTTACAGTAGATAAGTGAATGCCCCATCTTCTAGATACTGAGTGGGGAAGACAAAGAATTCCAAGAGGCTATTCTGGGATAAAAGGGCTTGTGGCTCACCATGAGGCACTACCAACCATAATTAAGAAAATGTCATGAACCCTAGGGAGCAAAATGAAAAGGCTCAGTAGGTGGCTCAGTTGGGTTTGAGATGCCTGTAATTCTTTGCTTCTTAACTTAGACACAGAAGTATTCATTCCAGTTCTGTTTCATCGTTTCTCTTTTGAGTCCTCCTCCTCCAAAAGCTCACCCCACACTGGCATCTCTACTGGCCTGTGAAGCTGACATTGGCCATACCTAAACTCCCATTTCTGGTCTCTGCGGCCAGCCCTCCAGCTCTTCTCCACCACCCTGACAGTGAGACCCCCCAGTTCTTCAGCCTCTGTAGCCCTCTGTCAAAGGCTTTGCGCACAGCTGAGGAGGAGAAATAGAAAATCAAGGGGTCAACGCAAGCATTGAGAGCACTCAACAACACTACACAGGCCCGCCATTGTTGACTCTTCCCCTGGAAGAACCCCACCACATGAGACACATTGTAGGGCCCAAAACAAACCAGGAAGTTGAAGAGAGTCACAGCGGCCAGCCCAACAGCTCTCCAGCGCTTCTGGGTCCCCACCTGAGGCCGGGAGAGCATGATGCACACAAAGTGCCAGTAGCAGAAGATGGTGACTGCCATGGGGATAAAGAAGAGCACAAGGCACAGCTCCAGTCGCACAGGCAGCAGCACCTTCAGCTGCTCTTGGGTGAAGTTCTCATAGCAGACAGGGTGCCCATTGGCATCTGTCATCGTGGTGTTGGTTGGTAAGTATTGAACGATGATCACAATGCTACAGTGTCCGAAGGACAAGATCCAGGAGACCAGAGCGGCAATCACTCCATACAGGGGCCGGCGGGAGAGCTTGTACTGCACGGGGAAGGCCACGCTGCGGTAGCGCTCGATGCTGATGCCAGCGAGGAGCCACGTGCTGCAGTAGATGCCACTATAGAAGCCATAGCCAACGAGGGCACAGAGGATCTCCCCCAGGGGCCAAGAGAAATCACGGGCAGCCTCAACCATCTTAAAGGGCAGCAGCAGCAGGAGGAGGAGGTCTGCCAGCGTCAGGCTGAGCAGGAGGATGTGGATAGGGGCAGGGTGGGGCTGGCGGACCCGTCCCACGAAGGCCCGTAGGGCCAGGAGGTTGGCAGGGAGACCGATGGCAAAGGATATGATGTAAATGATGAGAATTCCCAAGTTTCGAGTATCGGAGGTCATCCTTCCTGAAGAGACAAAAGATGGGTCAGAATCCTTTCTGACTGTGTGTTCCCAGCCCCAAACAAAAGTGAATCTATTCTCAGCGTCATTGCTAGCATCTTTCCCTGCTTCACCAAGTGATTCTTGCTAACCCTTCAAACAGAGCACTGTGTGCTTCTTCTATGTCATGGAGAGGCCTCCATGCTCTCCCAGAAAATTATTTCTTGCTGGGCTCGGTGGCTCAGCCTGTAATCCCGCGCCTTTGGGAGGCTGAGGTGAGTGGATTGCCTGAGCCTGTGGGTTCGAGACCCGCCTGGGCGGCGAGACCTCATCTCTACAATAAATCAAAATGAGCTGGGTGTGGTAGCGCGCGCCTGTAATTCCGGCTACTCGGAAGGCTGAGGCAGAAGGATCACTGGAGCCCAGCAGGTGAGGCTGTGGTGGCCGGGAGCGGCCACTGCACTCCAGTCTGGGTGACGGAGTGAGACTCCAACTCAAAAAAAAGAAAAGAAGATTATTTCTTTAGCGTTTTCCACCCTACCAAAAAAGAAAGAAGAAAAAAAGTCCCCTAAGAATTTTTGATGTCTCAGAAGCTTTTCCAGGAAAAGTCCTGAGACATCCAGGTCCCCGCTGGAAAGAGCACTTTATGAGAACAGTGACACCATCTGCCTAGTTCACCATTGTGACCCTAGTACCTAGAACTGTGCTGAATACATAGTAGGTGCTCAGCAAATATCTCTTGAGACACGAATGGCTATGTGAACTGAGAGGAAGGAAGCAGCAGCTGCTTTATCACAAAGGGAATAAGCCAAGACTATCTCTTAGGTTCTTCAGATTCCACTCAAAGTTCAAATTCTACCCTGCCTGTTTATTTTCTTTGCCTCTTTTTATTTAAACTCCCAAGTCATTGGGCTTGAACATATATATGATTCTCAGCTGTACCCCTGACAAAGGGTATTTGCTTAGACCTAAGGGAAAAGCAGGTTAAGCCCGAGGTGAGTCCCAGATACGCATCTTCTTGATTCCACGCTGAGCCTTTCAAAGAAGATCTGTAGGTTGGGTGCAGTAATGGAAGGACCCTGACCTAGGTGGGTCAACAGAATTCCAGTTCCAGTCATGCCTCAGATCAGATGTGTGACTCAGAAAATCACTCCAGCCCCTCTCAGCATCATCTTAGGATGGAGAGCACCCCCCCCCAAAAAAAACTAGAATTCTTTTTTGGAGAGTGGGCCTCTTGTAGTACACTAGAAATTTGTTCCTCTAGATCAAACGGTCAGCCAAAAATTTTATCTGTAAGTTTTGATGAGGTTGCATCATGATTTGTGGAAGAAACATCCCAAGTTTTGGCAAACAGATGACAGGTTCTTCCATCATGACAACACACCTGCCCACACTGCACTGAGCGTTCAGCAGTTTTACACCGAAAACAGCATGATCCCTCTACCTCACCCTCCCTATTCGACTGATCTCATCTCAAATGATTTTTTTTTGTTTCCCTGGATGAAAAAAGTCTTCAAAGGGAAACGTTTTGCCAATGTAGAAAAGGTGAAACAAAAAACGGCAGAAGCACTAAAAGGCATCAAAGCTGATGAGCAAAAAAAAAAAAACTGTTTCTGAGCAGTAGAAAAAGCATCTCAGTAGGTATATGCATCAAATGAAGCATACTTTGAAGGTGACCAAAGTTTAAGCATGTAAGAATAAATACACAATTTTTAATAAATTCCCATTTTGGGGAGTCCCCCTTGAAATTCCCTCTGCACCACATATAACAAATGATTTCACCAAACTGCCACAATTCCCAGTACACCACCTGCAAATTCATCCTTTCTCTTCCCCTGAAGAAAAGTATTTGAGTGAGTATATGAGTAAATCCAGAGTAACTTTAAATTTCCTCACATTGATCATTAAAAGGTAGACATTCAAAATAAAACTTGAAGCCCTAATCTGTTACTGGTGCTGGTAACAGATGGCTGCTGGCCCATCTGTGTATCTCATTCCACATTTGAGAGTATCAGAAGTAGAGGACCAGCTGAGTGGGGAGAGTCCTGCATCTGTAGGGCTGAGCCTGTCTTCTGTTTTCCTCCTGCCCCTCTTCCTCCAGGCCCTCAACCTCTCTCCACTGACTTGCCTTTGCTCCTTTCTCGCTCCTGTGACCTCTTCTCTCCCCTCTTTGAAGAGCAGACCCCTGACTTTGCCTCCTTTTCGTAAGTGTATCTACATGTATTCCTTCAGTCCCATCTCCTCCTAGGGTTGTGATCCCAACAGCCTCTTCCCTGAGCACAAGCAAATCTGGGTCCCTTGCCTTATCCTGGAGGCAGATGGATGGCTTTTCAAAGATGTCTGATTTCCAGAAGCAGGTGGAACCTTGTATAACTGGACCAAGTTTTTCTTTTCCATGTACAATGGGCTTTTATACCTGGAAGAATCATGTGGTCAAAAAGAGGAAGGTCAATAGTTGAGCTCTTCCAAGGCAGCTTGACCCTCTGGGTCCCTCACCAAACTCTGTCCCCAACAAACTTATTTCTCCCAGAGTCCAAATTGCAACAGTTGTTCTGGGCTTCCTCTTCCTCCTGTATCCCAAGAGGCTGCATTCTGTTTCCTTTCTGTGGACAATTATTCTACATGACTGTGCACAAACATCTGTTCCTCCCTCTACCCTTTCTCCACCTGTTCCTCCCCATCTTTTCCCTCAAGCCCCCTGACCTGGTCAATTTCTTGTTCTCTTTCCTGGAGGCTCCAGTGAAACTGGTTAGTGCCTTAAGCATTGCTTGATTTCCTCTGATCCATTGGGTCCTTTCTTACAGATATTTTTTACCATAGACTCAGACTCTCCGGAATCCAAGTTGCTTCCAAGGTGAGCCGGCTTCTGGGTCTTCCTCCCAACTCATTCCCTGTCCAATAGGGGCACCCTGCCTCAGTTACCTTCTCTTCCTACTGTTTCTCTCTCCCCACCTGTGTAGGATCCACATGACTCCTTGTAGTGTCTCAAGGCAGACACTTGAAGATATGGAAACTCACAGGGATTCTTTATCTCTCTTCGAGAATGTATGTGTCTTGTCACTGGTTGCCTGATCCTGCCAGCAGAGACTCCTTTCTTTCTCCTTGACATAGGAGGAGTGACTCGCAGCCAAGCTCCTTCCCAGAAATCATCTCTTGTTATTTAGCTCTCCAGTCCCCAGATCCTGCCCTTCACCTCAATAACCAAGTGGTCACTTTTTGTTGCTGCTGTCTGACACTCCCTAGCTCCCACAATGCCTGCCCTAAAATGGGCTCTCAGAAAGTGGTTTTGAATGTTTGGTACACATAGGAAGAAGGCAACATAATTGCCCTTTGATCTCTACCAAGTTTTTTTTTTTTTTTTTTGAGTTGGAGTCTCACTCTGTTGCCCAGGCTGGAGGGCAGTGGCACACTCCTGGACAGCGCAGGCTTGACCTGCTGGGCTCCGGCGATCCTTCCACCTCAGCCTTCCAAGTAACCGGAACTACAAGTGCACGCTACCATGCCTGGCTTAATTTTTTGATTTCTTGTAGAGATGAGGTCTCACCAAGTTGCCCAGGCGGGTCTCGAACCCACGGGCTCAGGCAATCCACTCACCTCAGCCTCCCAAAGGTGTGGGATTACAGGCTGAGCCACCGAGCCCGGCTTTCTACTAAGTTAATTGGTGCCATTTTATTACTTGCATTTGATTGGAAATGCAATGAAACTGACTGGAAAGGTGAAGGCTGCTAGATAAGGCTGCTCTCAGAATCCAAAAATTCTGGAGGGGAGGCCTCTTTTCCCATCCCTATCTCCAGCCATGCAGAGGTGATTTTCAGGTCAGGATGGGAGCTTCAGAATCCTCTCTTCTAACAGGCCCCTGGGTGGTTTCTGAGACCGCTGGAGTCTCCCAATAGGTCCTCATGCACCTTCAGCAAATGGCAGTGCTTCATGAGGTAGCCTCACCTCTTCTTATCTATCAGTGTTGAGTCTGAGATTGGATCTTCTGGAAGTAGCAGTTTTTAAGTTTGTCCTTTAAAAATCCCTAGCCTATAATCCCAGCCCTTTGGGAGGCCAAGGCGAGTGGATTGCCTGAGCCTGCGGGTTTGAGACCAGCCCAGGCAACTTGGCAAGACCTCATCTCTACAAAAAAGAAAAAAAAAATTAGCTGGGCATGATAGCGTATGCCTATAGTTCTGACTGCTTGGAAAGCTGAGATGGAAGGATCACAGGTCGACGCTGGGGTGGCCGTGAGCGTGCCACTGCATTCCAGCCTGGGCAATGGAGTGAGACTCCAACTCAAAAAGAGAAAAAAACAAAAAACCCTAGCCCTATTCCTTGCCTATAACAGGCACCCAAGTGCTTGTGGAGTGTAAAGATGAAAGTTGGATGTACCTGCAAGAGCTTGCTAGCTGATGATACAAGCAAAGAGCCTATCAGAACCTATGCCTTTTGCCTTCGGTCCTCTATCTCCATTCTGTCACCTAAGTTACAGGTATTGGGACATCGTTGGTGCTGAGATCCTAGGATCACTGATGTCAAAGGGAGAATTCAGACTAAGTTGTTTTGTAGCATTGTGAGGCTGTGTTGACCTCACCCACAGCTGCATCATGGAAGTGGATAATGCAGCATCTCAAGTCCAACTCACCTGAGCAATGGTTCAGACTAAGTCACACACATTTATGCATGGAAGGCTCTTCTACACAGAGCTACATGGTCCACAACATGCTGCTTCCTGGTCATCAAACACATGGAGCCCTTACTCTGTGAGAGGGATTGCTCCAGGTGCTTGGGACAGGAGTGAACAAGATGGGTAGTAAACAAGTAGATAGATCAACCAGGCAATCTCACATGAAGGAAGGAAGGAAGTATAGCTGAGAAATTTAGAGAGAGACTGGCATGGGGCTTTTAAAAAACAGAACTGTCAGGAAAGGGCTGAGCTGAGAAGGGATACTAGAATTTATGACAAAGAGCCTGTCATGTGAAGAGCATTCCAGCTAGGGGACCAGCAGAAACCACAGCCCTGTGGTAGGAGTAAGCTTGCT